CGTTATTATACCACTATCAAAGCTTAGCTGAAGGCGATGCTCTTTCACCGGGTTGGGCTCAATCCTTAACTCGTTAAAGTACCTGGTATTTCCAACAGGAGGACCAGCGCCAGGAGCCCGGGAGGACCCGAGGCAGGACGCTCAGGGGGCTCCCGGGACGGGGCCGCCACCCGCTCACAGCGACGGCGGAGAGTGGAGTCCCGCCCGCGCCCCGGGGGTCCCTCCGCCGGTGGCTGCCAATCTGCGCCGCGCCCGGGCGCGAAAACGCCGAGCAGCGCCCTGGCCAAGGTCCAGAGGCGATGACGCACGAACGGGGGCAGCCGGCGTTAGGGACGTCAGAACCGAGGCGAGCCGCGGGCCCCAGGCCGCGGGCGGCCAAGCGGGGAACTAGGAGCTTCAAACCGAAGCGTCCCGTCGGGGAGGGAGCGAGCGAGAGGTTCCAAACGCCACCCAGAGCAGGGACGCGGGGCCCGGGGAGGGGGACGCGCGCTGGGTCCAGGGACCCCGCCTGCACCTCGGGGGCGGGCGTTCCCTCCCGGGGTGTGGGCGGGAGATTGCGCGGGCCGGACGGGGTGGCGGACGGGGCGGCGGACAGGGCTAAGTTCTCGCGGCCAGCAAGCTCCCACGAGCCGAGCAAAGCCCGTTCGGGCCGCCCCTCCCTCCCGCGCTGCTGGCCGCAGCCCCGCACTCACGCGGTGGTCGCCCCTGCGGGACCACGGTGCGCACCAGCAGCAGCAGCAGCAGCAGCAGCAGCGCGCGCCGCGCTCGCGGGCCCATGTCCCCTGGCCGCGCCTGGGACTCCGCCTCTGCGCGGGCAGGGAAGCAATGACCCCAGAAGTCACACCGGGCCATCGCCAAGGCCTGTGGTGCCCAAGGAGCTTCCTGGAGAGACCCCTTCCTGGTCACAGGGAAAAGGACGCGTGGTCCCAGGGCCTGGGCTTTTCCCCTTGCGGGCAAGGACACCTGCTTGTACCCACTGGGTGAATCTTCACATCTTGAGCGGGTGTTGCCGACCAGGAAGTTTATATCACGATGTTCCCATCTAAATGCTCAATATTTAAATGTTAATTAATTCAAAACTTTGATGATGAATTTCCAAAACTTTTATCTCAAATTTAGTTTAATTTAATTTTGTTATCTGGTTTATAACCAATCTATGTTTTTTCAGCGAAAACTTCATTTTGTTTTTTGATTAGCAAATTACATTCCACTGAAATACCTTTACCAAATTTACAAATTATCTGAGGAGTGTGTTACAAATGTTCTAACACATTGATGGAAGCTACTTGGAAAATCATTAAACATATTTACACCCTGCTCCCACCTCCAGATACTCCGATTTAATTGATATGTGCGAGCTAGGATTTTTAAAGCTTCCCTCAACCTTCCCAATAAAGTTGAAGAATCATGCTTAAAATATTTCTTTCTAAGCATGCTGAAAATTTTGCAATTGAAGAAAATTAAAATTGGAAATCAGAGTCTCTAAATTGTAGGCACATAAATAAAACAGGATTCAGAAAATTATATGTACACTGGGGTTGTTTTTCAGCTTAATTGAGATAGAATTCATATACCACAAATTCATCTATTTAAGATGTAAGTCAGTGGGTTTTAGTGTACAACCATCACCACAATCAATTTTAGAACATTTCCCACCTCCTCCAAAAGAAACTATTCTATAGTCATAATCTCCCAAGTCCCTCCTTTCTCCCTCCCTCACCAACAGCCCTGGACAATCACTAATGTATTTTCTTTCTGTACAGAACATTTCACACACAGAGAATCATACAACAAACAGTTTTTGTTTTTGTTGTGTGTATGTGCCCCCGAGTGTATGTGCCCCTGTGTGTGTGTGCCCCTGTGTGACTGCTTTCATTTAAGATAATGTTTTCATATTTTATGGTAAGTGTACCACATGTACCACACGCCACATTTTATTTTTCCATTCATCAGCTGTGAAAGAAACCTAAACCAGCCTCTGTAGGCAAACATGAGTCCATTCATGAGAGTGGAGACCCTGTTATCTAATGACCTCACAAGACTCACCTCCTGGTATTGCTGCACTAAATGTTGAAGCCATGAGTCTTGGTGGGCACAAACCTCCTCCAACCCATTGCAAAGACTTTTACCAGAGGACTCCCTACCGGCTTCTCAGGCTTCAGATGGGACTCCAGCCCACCTGGCTTTCCTGGTTCTCTACCTCTGATTGACAGCGTGGGTGGGAGTACATCTGCATTCTTCTTGGGGGTGGGGAGAGTAGGGGGAGTCTATTGTCCTGCCACCCTTGTTGAGAAGATGGTTTTTTCTTCATCTAATTATTTTGGCATCCTTGTCAAAAACCAGTGGACTTTACTGTAATCCCGGTCACTGGGGAGGCTGAGGCAAGAGGATTACAAATTCAAAGCCAGTCTCAGCAATTTAGTAAGACCTCTCTTAAAATAAAAATTGTAAAAAGGGCTGGGGATGTGGCTCAGTGGTAAAGTACCCCTAGGTTCAATCCCCAGTCCCCCCCCCCCCAAAAAAAAAGAGAGAACAAGATCAACTGACTGTAAGTGTGAGGATTTACTTCTGGAACATCAATTTTATGCCTGTGATCTATATGCCTATCTTTATGTCAGGACTACACTGTCCAGATTACTGTACCTTTAAACTAAATTGAAATCCGAAAGTGTGATCTTTCTAAATTTGTTCTTTTTCAAGATTGTTTTAGCTATTTAGGGTCTGTTGAATTCCACATGAATCTTAGGATCTGCTTGTCACTGTCTATGTTTTGTGTATGTTTCAAGACTATAAGAAACAAATGCATTTCTCCCTCCCCCTTTCTCCTTCTCCTCTTCTTCTTCTCCTTTCTCTTCCTCCTTATCTTCCTCCCTCTTGCTCTCTCTCCCTCTCTCTTCTTCCTCTTCTTCTCTGACAATGGGAAATAGAACTAACACACTGGCCAATGCCAACGTTGAACTTTCAGGAAGGGAATTCAAAAGTTAACATACAAACAAAAAAGGAGCTATCAGTCGTGCTCTGGAAGCCATGGAATGCTTACTAGTGCCAAAAGATGCAGAGAAATAAGATCCCGTCTAATCAGAAGTCCCCAGCTGTATGTGTGTGTGTATGTGTGTGTGTGTGTGTGTGTAATATATCTTTATATATATCCATATATATGATTATAGAGGGGGATTTATTAGAGTGGCTGACATGATCAGAGGCGGGACAGTCCCACAATGGCCTTCTGCAGGCTGGACAGCTGGAAGAACCAGGAGCTGCTCAGTCTAAGAATCTGGAGCCTCAAAACCAGAGGAACCAATAAGGCAGGACCAGCCCAAGGCTGAAGGCCTGGAAAATCACTGGTCAGAGTCCACTTTGGAAGAGTGAAGGAGCTAGAGTCCAAAGTCATCAGGTGATCACAACAGCAACTGAAGCACCAGTTCAAGAAGAATTGGGCTTGCCTCTGCCTTGATGTCCTCTTTCCACCATTTGTACCATTCAGACCTCCAGCCTGTGGGACTGTGCTGCCCACATTCAGGGCAGGTTCCTCCCCAACCTTGCCAATCATCTCTGGAAACACCCTCATTGACATACCCAGAAGCCTCTTAATCTTAGGCATCGCTGTCTATTAAGTTGACAATCCAGATTCACCATCACACTGGACACTCCCTTTCTTTTCATAGAAATGTGGAGCCTTTCATGCAGTGCTGCTTTCCCTGGCCGCTCTCAGTGTCAGCTCTCGGAACTCACCAGTGGAACTCCTTTAAACAGCTTACAAAGGAAACACCAGCATGTTACAGTGTTCCTTCTATCCCTCAAACTGCACAAAAGCACACCAGTTTTCTGAATCCTCAAATGGCCTTTGCAGATGTTGTTTTCCACAAAGGACTCTTGCACCATGGCTCAACTCAGCAACTCTCATTATATCCTACAGCAATACTTTCCTAAAGGGTCTGAATTCTTTTTAAAAACTTTTTTATTTGTTCTTTTTAGTTACACATGACAGTAGAATGCATTTTGAGATATCATAACTTCTCATGGAGTATAACTTTCCATTCTTATGGCTGTCCATGCTGTGGAGTTACATTGGTTGTACATTCATACATGAACATAGAAAAGTGATATCTGATTCATTCTACTTTCCTTTTCCCACCTCCTCTCCCTTCCTTCTATTCCCCTTTGTCTAATTCAGTGAAATGCTATCCCCCCAATCCCTGCTTATTGTGAGTCAGCACCCACACATCAGAGAGAACATTCGGCCTTCAGTTTTTTGGGATTAGCTTATTTTACTTAGCATTATGGTCTGCAGTTTCATCCATTTACTTTACCAGTAACCATAATTTCATTCTTCTCTATGGCTGAGTAATATGCCACTGTGTATATGTATCACGTTTTCTTTATCCTTTTATCTGCTGAAGGGCACTTAAGCTGGTGCCAAGTTCAGCTATTGTGAATTGATCTACTATCAACAATGATGTGGCTGTGTTACTATAGTATGCTCCGGTTCTTTGGGTTTATGCCAAGGAGAGGAATAACTGAGTCAAATGGTAGTTCCATTCCAAGTTTTCTGAGGAATCTCCATGCTGCTTTCTGGAGTGGCTGCACCAATTTTCAATTTATCAGCAGTGTATGAGTGTGCCTTTTTCCCCACACCCTCGCCAACACTTATTGTTAAGGGATCTGAATTCTGGCTGTCTCAGTTAATGACTTGTTTCCCTGGTAATACTGTAATAGCTATCTGTCTAATTAGTGTAAATATTTGTGTATTATGTTGGTGTTAAGTCCTTGGGGCACCTTTGGCTTAATCTTTTTTCCTACCCTATGGGGGGGGGGATACAGCTCATGTTCAACACTTGTTTAAACAACATATTTAAATTCCTACTTCAAGTAAATTAATAGGTGTGTGTAAAGTTATGCTATAAACAATAATAATGATCATATACCATGTATCCTGTGGGGGATAAATATGTTCTTCAATTATGTGTTGAAATTCTGTGAGAAATAATTACCAGGGATCATGAAGTAACCAGTGACTTGTTAGTCAGCTTTTTATTGCTGTGATCAAAATACATGATAAGAACAACTTAGAGGAGAAACAGTTTTGGGGGAGCTGATGATTTCAGAGGTTCAGTCCATTGTTCTGGGCATGAGGTGAGGCAGAGCATCATGGTAGAAGGGTGTGGTGGAGGAAAGCTGTCAGCTCATGGGAGCAGGGAAGCAGAGAGGGAACATGAGGAGGGCTCTGCTCCTCAAGATATAATCAATCCCCAATCACATGCCCTGAGTGACCTACTTCCTCCTACCATGACCAACCTGCCTACAGTAACCACCTAGTAGTCCATTCAAAGATTCAAGTCATCAAATGGATAAATCCACTCATGCGGTTACAGCTCTCTTATTCCATTCTTTTCATCTCTGACCATTGCTATGTTATGGGTCATGTTTCCAGCAAATGAGTTTTTGGGGGACGCTTCATATCTAAATCATAACAGGACAAATAATAACAAAGGAGGTACACCCTCTGCATTTGCTACCCTCTCCCCACCTGCTATGACAAGAAGTGGGAAGATTGGCATCCTTCATGGAGAATGGAGAGGTAAAATGGATCAATTGCACTGCATGGAGTGGTAAGCAGTAGAGTCAATATCCATCCAGTCACTGAGAAGAGTCCACAGAACATTAAGTTAGTGAATGAAAAATGCATGTGTAGAATATACTTTGAGAGTAACACTTTTAACCCCAAACACCCATTTGGCTCATTAAGAAGGTTTCCTGCAAGAGTGGATGAAAAGTGAAAGATGGGAACAGGAGGAGTACGTAAAATACTTCCCCCCCTCTTCTTCTCTCTTTTTCTTTCCTTCCTTTTTGTAGATGTGGTTCCTGGAGAATTAAAGACCTTCAATACCCTATTCCTGAACAAGTAAGTGGCCAGGGCTGAGTGCTTACTCCACAATGGGAGACCGGAACCAAGGACTGCAGCCGCTGACTCGGTAGTAGACAATAAACCCCATCTTTCTTTACCTGATTAGATTAGCTTTTCCCAGAGACCTGCAATGCCAAGTATGGTCGAAACACCTGCCAAAATGAACACCCAAGCAGAGGGTTGTGGGCGTGTACAGTCAGATGAGAAGTCTGAAATGAGATACAATGTTTGGGTTCACCAGCAGCACTTGGAATCCTTTCCCCACCTCACCAGCATGTTAGATCCCAGGTCTTCATCCTAACCTCTGCTCTGGTGAATATTCCAGACCCACCCTGGGCCACCAACCTCAGCAGTCCATATTCTTACCCCACTTGATGATGAGGGGCTCCTTCAGGCCTCCATGCTTAGCATGGCAGGAGTACATGGCTTCTTCTCCTCTAGGGACAGTCACATTCACCCAGCACTGACAGATTCCATTTCCATTCAGCCGATACCCACTGTGGACCAAGGGCAGGGCTTCCTGGCCCCTCCACAAGCTCAGCATGTTAGCACAAGGGAAGAAGCACAGGTCTTGGCACTGCAGCACTATTTCCCAGGAAGAGCTCTGACAGCTGGTCACAGACACTGAAGGAGACTCTGAGGGCAGAGTGAAAGCAGGATGAATTCTGAGCTCTCCTGTTCCCTGGGCCACCCTCCTCCCACTTGGAGATGTTAGTTCAGCTCAAGAGACCCAGAAAACACTTGTAGGCTGGCCTTGGGCCCTCATCTAGCAATTCAGTCTCAGTCCTTCATGATTCTGGAAACCCTCGTGGAAAAGTAGGTGGTGTAGGTTGAAGTATACCCCTCCAAAGTTGTGGAAGTCGTAACTTGCTGCACCTGTGAATGTGACCTCATTGGGAAATAGGCTCTTTGCAGATGATCATGTTAGGATGAGTTAATTAGGATAGCTTCTAATCCAAACTGACTAGCATCCTTATGAAAAGGGAGATTTTCAACATAGAAATTGGTACAGAAGGAAAACATGAAAAGACACAGGGAGGAGGCCTATTCAGGTCAAGGCTTCCAGAAGGTAGGAGAGGGCCCTGGAATAGATCTTCCCTCCCAGACCTCAGAAGGAACCAAGCCTGAGGACATCTCCATTTCAGTCTTCCAGTCTCCAGAATTGTGAGATAATAACCATCTCTTATTTAATCTCCCAGTTGGAGGTACTTTGAAACTGCAGCTCCAGAACATTAACACAGGAAATGCTATGGACTGAATCATGTCCCCCACAAACTTATAAACTAAAACCCTGTCCTCAATGTAATGGTATTTGGAGATAAGGCCTTTGCAAAGTGATTAGGACTCAAAGAGTTCCTGAGTGATGGGATTCGTGCTGATATAAAAAGAGGCAGGAGAGAGAGCCGTCTATTTTTTTTCTTCCTTGCACCCCCATGTGCACCAAGGAGCCTCATGTGAGCACACAGGAAGAGGCCACTGCCTACAAAGCCAGAAGATAGCCCTTAGTAGGAGTTGAGCCAGTAGAACCTGACCTCAGGCTTCCCAACTTCCAGAACTGAGAGGAAATAAAAGTTCTTTTTGAAGCCCCCAAGTCTATGGTGCTTTGCTAAGTTAGCTCCAGGTGAGTGAAATGTCAAAGAGGATGAATCCTGGAGTCTTGAACAGCACAGCATCTGTGCTTCCAGGGAACAGATTTGCTGAAATTCTGTGAGCAAAATTCAAACATGTAAATTATTTTTGAGCCCTTTTAAGGAATATAATAAGGTGGCAAGAGCTGGGGAATGTCCCCAAACACTGCTGTCTGATAAAACTCTGAGATAATAGGCATCTTCTAACACTGTTCAGAACCATGTGAAAAGTGGCTAGTGTGTCAGAGGAACAACATGCTAAGTTTTACATAATTTTAACTCATTATGTTAGCAGCTGTGGGACAGCACGAGTCTAAGCTGGACTCTGGCTGGACTCAAGGGGTGGGTGCTGGTATTGCAGCAGCAGGTGACAGACATTCCAGATGCTTCAGCAGGTCCCCAGGCCCAGAAGTCAGGCTGCTCACCCCACCTCTCCACTAATGTGGGGTCGATGTTATTAATGTGCATTTTATGTTCTTTTCCATACAGAAGGATCTTTCAAGAACTCCTTTGGTACTTTAAAAATGTAAGATTCTACTGATTATTTGACAAAACTAAATTAACAGTTCTTCTTTAAACTCTCAATCTGCAAAGTTCATTACTGCATTTATTAATTTAAATAATTAAATCATTTTTGATAGGGATTTGCAATTTAATAACATTTTTTAAACTTTTCAATTGTGACTATAAATTGATATATTAGATTTCTAAAGTGTTTAAATGCTCAATTAACATAACTACCCCAAGTGCCTCAGTACCTTTTAAAAGTCTAAGCTCATCCTTCATAGGATGAGTCTTAAATATTCTCAAATATTCTAAAAGTGCTTCTAAACTCAGTAAGATATCAAAATAAAAATCACAAGGATAATTGCTATCTCAACTATAACCTTATATCAGTCACAGACTTTTAATTATCTGAAATACTTAAAATAGGAAATATGCATATGTTCTTTCTTAACATAAAATATTGACATAATGGGTTTGATTTACTTTATAACTTATTAGCTTAAATCTAGACATCATAAGGTTAGGAGACACTTACCTAAGTATGTATCCTAAATAGCTGTGAGGCCGTCAGCCTCCCCGGAATAACTTTGGGTCACCTCTCTTGCTTGACTGTGCATAATGACCAGAGATTTTTAGGTCGGGAAATAATTTCTGAAGCTAAAATACTTAGTACTAATTCTCCTACAATCCAACTGATGGTATGTATAATTGTGAGTCCTGAGTCCCCTAAGTGCCCACTCAGTCCAGAGCAGGAGCCTCTCCAAGGTCAGGTCCCTGGAAGCAACTGAACTCTGCCTAGTGGTCACATTCCTCACAGCTAGCTCAGTGTCAGGTGTAGTTGTGTGACCTCCATCCAGATTCTGCATTCCTGTGGCCTGTTACCTGGCATGAGGTTGTTCTAGTAACAATCTAAGCACAACCTGCAGTCCAATCCACGGTTGCTTAAACACGACAGTAGGAAGGGTGTGCAAGACAGGAGAAGGGAGCTTCACGAATACTCAGACAGGAGTTAGGAGAAACAAAACCACCATGAGTGACATCCCGTGCCCTGGTCCCCAAAATAACTTAACTTGGAATTTACTGAAGCTGGTGCAGAGAGGAACAGTTGCCTGAGGTGAAGGGGTACTTTTTAAAATTATACAATTTACCAGGTTTTGACTCTCTACCTCATCCAAGGAAAACAGGGTACTTTGGTTTTTCATGTTGAATTTCCAGTCAGGAAGCAGATGCCTCATTCAAACTGAAACATGAATTCCATTCCAGGGAGTTGGTGTTGAGACCATGAAGTAAATGTCATTGAGGTCCCTGTTCAGTTTCTTGTGAGTTTGGTCAGGGATTGCTCCTCCCTTTCTTGTCTGCCTCCCCCATGCCCTCAGGCCAATCCCTGCTCTGACAGAATCGAGACCCAGCCATAATGGACCACAGGGCAAGACACTGAGCCTCAGTGAATTTCTGATGGGCACTGGCTTCCCTCACCTAAAAATGGGGCAAGGCATGGAGAGTCTCAGGCCAAAGCTAGTCTAACCGATTCCATTAGAGGGACAGTTACCTGATTGCACCAAAGCTTTCTTCCCAGGTCCTGGGTACTTCTGAAGATAGTGCTGGCAGTCACCATTGATAAAGGCACCATGGTGCTGGGCCAAGTCTCTATCCTTCTTCAAACTCTGTGCCATGCTTTGGGCCTCAGGAGCATCAGCCTTCCAGCAGAGTGTTGCTGGCTGGAATGTGAGGTAGTCCTGTCCCTCGAAGCTGTATTTCCAGAAGCTCTTGAAGTTGCCATTCTCCTTGAGGTCACAGCCCAGAGCCATCTGCAAAATATGAGGCCCTGGTGCCCCAAAGCCCCAAAAGGAGCATAACTTCCTCTGTCTTCTGCAAAATGGAGATGCATTAAGCATAGAAAGAGGACTCTAGGGCAGAGAGGACTACTCCCCTCCCTACTCCGTGGCAGCAGAGCTGACTCTGATGGTGTCCTGAGACTTTAATATGCTCCTGAGAAACAGGGGGCTAGGGGAGGATGGAGCACCTCACCCTCCTGGAGTCTTGTCCCCACTGACTTTCAGGGCTCATTTTCCTACTCACCAGGCTGCTGGCTATGCTGCTTCATGTCCCACAGCAACACCAAGAATTCCCTCCCAAAGAGCTTCACATTCTGTACCAACTCTCTCCACTCCACGGAACCTTCCAGTGTCTCCCACAGACCCCAGTGTTGAATGCTCTGGTTCCTACTGTAGAATTTCAGAAAGAGCTGATTGTTCACATATGCAAGGGCCTTCGTCTCGGTATTGTATTTGACCAATGGAGCTATGGTAGTGTAGAGAATGTGGAGGGAAGATGACTCTGAAATCAAGACGTGGGTAGTAGCACCACAGAGGGGTCATCTCTGAGAGCACAAGCCCCACCCAGAGCCACTCAAGGAACTTATGACTCCTGGGAAGCCTGGCTATTTACCAAGGCCCACAGGTCTCCTATGATCCTCTGGCTAGGACACATTTTCTTCAAGGCTATAAATCATGGTAAAATAAATCCTTACTCAAAAGACACAGAGCCAAATGGAGTTTTGGTGCTAATTAGTCCACAAACAAAACAGAAAGAGAGTTACCTGAGTAACAGGATCAGAACACTGAGACCAGGCAGCTCCTCTTGGTGATTTACTCCCTCTCAGGAGCCTGTCTGTGCCTGGCTCTTCTTCCTGTGCTTTCACAGAGCTGTTCCCCAAACACCACTTCATCCCATGTACAGCTGCTTTCTTTCTCTTCTGTTTTCCTCTTTCTATGCCTAATTCATCTCCCACACTTGAACTGATAACCCCCTGCAAACAGTTTTCTAACCCAGGGCCTTCAGTCTCAGCACTGCTAGTATCTGGGGCCAGGTTAGGGTTGTGAATGGATTTCTGTGCAATGTTTAGCTGCATCTTTGGACCCTAGGCATTAAGTTCTAGTAGCACTTCTCAGCTCTAACAACACAAAATGTCTTCAGAACTTGCTAAATGGCCCTGAGGGGATAAGAGAGAGACTCATCCTGTGTAGAGAACCGTTCTATGGGGTATTTCCAACCTTGACCTGTACCCTCTTTCTAGACATGTAATTTAAATGGCCTATTTATCTTCTACACAGACTTACCTACTGCATTTTCAGTGCTTCATTTAAAAAAAAAATCGTTTTGCAATTCTGGGGACTGAACAGGGCTTTGCACATGATAGGCAAGTGCTCTATCACTGAGCCACATCCCCATCCCTCTCCAGTATTTTTAATCAACAGGTTCAGAGGTGCATACTCTCCAGCCTAAGGTAAGAAACTGGACATCCATGGGCCAGATGGGACCTGAAAGTGTATCTGATTTGCCCTAACAGTAGGAGATTAGAATCAAATATTAATATTTTTAAAAGGAAAGAAACTCTCGATTCCTGTTTTTTTTTGTTTGTTTCTTTCTCTAAATAAGATTTTGCATTTCCATACAATGAGTCCAGGAGGGTCTTTTGGCCTCTGAAATGAGAACTCCATGCTGCCTTACTCCTTTCACCTCTTATGTTCCTACACGCCGCAACTTCTCCACTGCAGGCATTTTCTTTTTCCCCCTCCCCCATCTAATATACCCTACATATTGGCTCTAGATAAAGGTTTCCAAATCGTAGCTCTGATCCAACAACACTCCAGCTGAGGCCATCTGGCCCGCAGTTCTTCATTAGGCATCTCCTCTCTACTGAAGTGTTGCAGATACCTTAGGTTGACCTCTTCCTGCAGGTGAAGGGCTTTCCAGCTCCCAGATTCTATCTTTGTTCCTCAAAGGTAGTCTCAAATGGTTCAAGTCTGATTCTTCATTAAGGGGATAAATGGGAAATGAAATACATTTTGCAGTTCTGGACCAAGAATCATGCTGGACAATTTGCACAGAAGAGAGATTTAAGATTCTCAACATCTTCTGAAGAACTTATTATTCTATCTGCAAATGGGTATTGAGTATATTATGGGAGTTCACAAAGGTGGATAACTCTGAACCCACAGAAATTAATGAGGTCATGTCATGAAGATTTCAGTAGCATCCTCAGGGAGGAATAATCCCAATTTCAACTAAGGCTGCTTTTCAATGGACTTCATTCCTGACTTTGCCATGCTATGCGACAAGTGGTAGAAACCAAGCGTGAATTTTTAGCAACAAACAGCTTTGAAACTTTGCTAGGAAATTCTTCTTTCTTTTTCATCTACCCATTTAAAGTAGATATCAGATTACTGTGCACTTTAGGTCTCCTCTCACCTGCCCCTCCCTGACTCCTCTCAGTCCCCAGATTCCTTCACAGGGTGCCACCTTAACCCGGTCCAGTTCCCTCCCTCCACATAATTCATGATCATACTGAAATTCTCCTCTTGCCCCAACCCATCCTTCATTTCCTGCATTCTACTACACTGTGGGGACCCCTCCTTTGGCTCTACCTCTTCCTGAGCCTTTCCCAACTCCTTCCAAATATGATCCTGACTCTGGTCCAGGCTGGCTCTGTGGCTCCAGCTGTGCCTTGTTGGCTTACCGCCGCCCTTACATTCAGTTTAGGCACAGGAGACATTCTGCACAAATTCCCACAACTGGAGCTAAAGGACCTCAGAACTTTAAAAAATTATGTTATTTACTTTATCCTCTAAGGGAAAGAGCAGGGTCCTTGCTGAGAAACAACTGCCTGGAAAATTTCCATACCACAGGAGCTGTTTGAAGTGGGTGGCGTCCAGGGCATCTGAGAAGGCGTGGAAAGAACCCTGGGCATCCTAGATGGCAACTCACCTTCTGGGTCTTCCAGACAAGCATAGCTCTGTGAAGGGCCAAGAAAGGAGAAGAGGAGAAGCAGTGGAAGCCATGTCATAGTGCAGTTGAGAATTCCCTGCTGGGAGCTGGGTAAGTCAAGCAAAATTTTTACAGGCAGGGACCTGCAGGTCTGCTGCTGGTGTCCAGGCTGCTGTGCTCTTGTACAAACTGTGAAGCAGGAGAAATCAAAATGGTGCCCACAGACTGTTAGGTCCCTAGACATTAGTAACTCCATTTTGGTTCTGGGACTCAGAACCAAAACTTATAAAACAACCAAGAAAAAAAAACTTAAGATACCCTGTTTCCATAACCCCTTCCCTACAGGGTCTCTAAATACAAAAATCTATCCTTACCCAGCCACCTGCACCCAAGGTCATTTCCAGCTTGCTCCTGTTCCTTGTTTTAAAAAGATATAAAATCTCTATTGAAGTGACTGTGTCTGGCAGAAGGACAGCCTAGCGGATACTCTCTGCTAATAAACCTTTGCTTGAACTCAGAGATGTGTCTCTCCTGGATATTTGCACCAGCTACCCTAACACAGACCAAGAAGCATCAGCATCTGGGAGTCTGTCATACATTCAGGTACCCAGGATGCATCCTAAACCTACTGAAATACAGAGAGTAGGAGAGTTTAAGCAAGTTGGTGGGTAAAGATGCTTCCTTGTGATGCACCACTGAGCTAGAACACCACAGCTCTGTAGCATCCTTGACCTGAGGAGAATTAATGGCCTGACCAGATCAAGGTTAGAATCCAGGCAGCCAAGTTCTATTTCCTTCTCCCAGTTTCATTTACAGAATAAAACTTGACAGAGCTTTTACTCCCCTATGGGCAGCTCAAAAATACATCTCAGCAACAACTTTCAACAGTTTTTGAAAACCATATCATTTTTGTGTTTTCCAGTGAACATCGCACTTACTGCTAATAGAAATTGCTTTACAACCTCACTGCATGTTAATTGGAGAAAAATTAAAACCAGAGAAAAAGGAAGAAGAAAGTGAAAAGCATCTGTAATCTCACTCTCCAAGATAAAACCCCACGGACATATTCATGTGTTTCCTTCCAGGAGTTTTTCCACAGAGTCATACTAAGACATACTAAGATGTCTAGTCTCTGTCTTTTGTATGTTCTTGCCTCTGCTGGAAGGCCTTTCTCCCTCTTCTCTTTTCTTGAAGCTCCTGCCTGAATCCTGAGCTCAGAGACTTTGTTCCAACTCCTCTGGCACTATTACTGAGCCATTCAGTGTGTGTGTGTGTGTGTGTGTGTGTGTGTGTGTATTAAATGAAGGATCAAATGAATGAATGCTCAAACCATGCTGGACCCTCTGTGAAGGCAAATGCAACCCAGGATGGAAGATTTCCTGGCTCTTCCAGAGCATTTCATACTTGTCTACATTAGAAAATGCATCCTACAGACTTACAAATATGTGTCAATATATCAACTCTCCCACTAGAGTCCTCATTGTCTGCAACCATTTCCTTTTTCATAATCCTGATGCTTTGCAGAATGCCCAGCACAGAGTACACAGTTGCCATAGCATGATGGACCCATTCCTGATCAACAAGTTACTTACAAACAAAACAGAACACTAAAATCCACAGGAATCATGAGAAAATAGGAATAGGGTGGAAAGCTCAAAACCATGTGGCCTCACTCATTGGCACTCAGAGTAGGTCTTGAGTTTCCTTAGAACCTTGAAGGGAGGTGAATGGATTTAGTTGATGTGTGGTCACAGTACAGACGCAGAGATGATTTCTTAGTGGGCTATGACACTGAAAGATCTTATCCACGTGCTGTTGCTCCTTAGTTTTATCTGCTCTGAGAGACTATGTCTTAGGGTCTATTAATGAGTGTGTACATTTTTGCCAATTTGAGAAGCTCGGAACCAAAGACCTGATATTCATATTATCGGAATCACGGGAAAAGAGAAAGGCAGGGGGGCTGAAAGAGCATTTGAAAAATAATATCTGGAAATTTCAAAATCTGGCAAAAAGACATAAACCTGCCGATTCAAGGAGCTGAGTTAAACCCAAATAAAACAGTCACACCAAACACTTCATAAATTTCAGAAAACTAAAGACAAAAAAAAAGAAATCCTGACAGCAGCCAGAAAGAAAGTGTCTAGTCGGGAACCCCAAGTTTGATGAGAGTGGTGGCTGAAAGACCGGAAACTGGAAGGAAATGACAGAAAGCATGCTTTTGTTGATACTCTTGTTAATACTGTTGATACTCCCTATTTCTGGAGGGGGTGAAAGGAAGAACAAACAAACAAACAAACTGTGTTCTTTATCCTGTAGGTAAAGCTACTTTCAGGAATGAAGGGAAATAAAGACATTCTCAGGTAAAGAAAAAGAAATGTTTTGCTAGAGGTTGACCCTTAGAGATGATTGACAGCAGCAGTGGAAAGAGAAAGAATGGTAAGAGAAAGCATCTTGGCACATCAGCAAGAAGGAATGAAAAATAGCAAGAACAGAAATGTGGATAAAATAACTATTCCTTCTCTTTTTACGAGGTGTCTAAATCATACCTGATCACTCACACAGAACTATAATGCTCTGGTGCCCCAGAAGATGACATAATTCCAGGAATGCAAGTTTTTGTGAGTCATACAGGTTAGTTTCATCCCCCAGAAAAGATAAACTGGAGTCCTAATTCTTCATCTTTCTGGGTATAAACTTATTTGTAAATAGGGACTTTGCTGAATAAAGTTAAAAATGAAGTCATTACAGTGGGTCTTAATCCAATATAACTGGTGTCTTTATAAAAAGGTGAGATTTGAACATGGTGACAAACACACACAGAGGGAAGAAGATGTAAAATATGGGGGAAGACAGTCAGGGCCAAGCCCAGGTGTGATGGCAAAACCAGACCCGCTTTTGAAATGAAATTACAAAAACATTATGGTAAGAAACTAAGGCCTGGGGAAGGAGTCAGTTCCACTCCCCTCTCTCAGCCTTCCTCCAGGAAGCCTAATTAACCTTGGGTCCCTACCTTTTGGGTTGTAAATATCTGCCCTGAGATTCTGACTACTTCCCCTTGAAATATAACAGATGCCTGTGAAAAGAGCCCTTTCTTCTTACCTGTTTCTGTCGGCATGCTTTATTTAGAGACCCTGCACAAGGCCTTCAGCCACACAGATTAGGTTTTTTTTTAAGAGGAAAAAGCCCCAGTGATAGGATGGGTCTAAGATGACATCAAACAACTTATAAATATTGTGAGAAACTGTGGGTCAGGACTCAGGATTTGTAGTTTTTGTTTTTTGGGGGAGGTCTGTTGGTGTAAATAAAGCTTGAAGTTCTCCTCCTCTCCCAGTGCTGCTGGCTGCTTGTTGATACTCTGTTTCTCGCAATATTTGGTTCCCTGACTGGGAAGTGACAATCATGCTGGCCCTTTGTGCCCCTCAAGTTGAAGGAGATGGTGACACCTGATAGTTTGGGATTTCCTTTACCTGGGGGACCTGTACCTTCCCAGCAGCCATTGCCACCGACTCCCTGGAGAGTTGGACCAACAGCTGCACAATCATCAGGATACAGGTAAAATCCTGGGATCTGGGACCTTGGTCAGGCCTTTCTCTAGGACAGAAGGGGAGTTTGATCACATCCCAGGCCACTTGAGGCCACTTGAATGGGGCCATCGGTTGTGTCAGGTGGGTGGCAGTGACTTAGGAACAAAGCACCAGACAACTCATGAGAACATAAATCAGGCTCTGATGGAAACGCCTGTCAATCAGTGGGATCTCCTGGCCAATCTTGGATTTCAGCCAGATCCCCCCCCCCCAACACACACACACACCAACTCCAGCGAGACAAGGGACTCTAAAAACACCTTTTGCTGTCCCAAGCCCTTCCCTTCCTGCTGTAAGCCCCATAAATTCCAGTCCAGTCAAGCTCCCACCGGTTTCTCCTGAGACCCTAGTCCTGTCCACTCTGTCTGATCCAGTTCCTCCCTGGGAGGGAGTCTCTTTTTAAATCGGCCTCCTCTTGGTTGATGCCCGTTGCCTGACCTCACATCTGGTGCCAAGACCCGGGATGGATTTGGGGGGCTTCTCCTGCAGGGGACTGAAGTCCATCCCTTCCCACCTTGAAACGGGGAAATGTCTAAGCCGCTCTTTCCCTCTGCCTTCATCCGGCCGCCAGGAGTGGGGTGAGTTCCCGTTTCCCGACCTTCCAGCCCCTTTCCGACGGTGGGGTCGATCCTAAGTCGCACGAGTGCCCTGGACCCTGCCCGTTCAAGGCCCCGGGGGGCACTGTGGCGAGGTCCCAGTTCCTGGGGGAGCCATTCCCTCTCTGGGCCCGCGGAGGCCGCAGGGACGCCTGACCCGCCCTGGCCCTTGCTCCTCAGGTGGGGGCGGGCGGAACTGGGGACTCACCGGCGAGGGTGCCCGGAGGTCGTGGGAAACACGGAGTCCTCTCCTTAGACCCCAAAGTACACGGGTCACAGCGGCCCCAGAAGGAACTTCTGATTTTAAACCCCCACTGAACCCGACAATTTCTGTCGCCGGAAGCGGGCAAAACGTCCAGGCTTTTTGAGATTCGCTCCCGCCCTCCCCTCGGTTCTGCCCGTCCCACGGCCAACGTTCTCCTCGCTGGGGACCCACTTTCCCATTGTCCTACTGTTTCTTCCTCATTCTCGGATATGGCCTTCTCCCAGCCTCACCTTCCTGCCCTCCCCTCCCGCGGACCGCGTCTCCCCCCCTGCAGCCGCAGCCGCCGCCCCGTCTGCCCCTCCCCGCCCGCACGTCCCCGTCTGCCCCTCCCCGCCCGCACGTCCCCGTCTGCCCCTCCCGGCACGTTTCCGGTCTGCGCGGCCACCGACCCTCACGCGTGCCCCCCATCACTGGCTCCCCGGCGCCTCGCACTCACCTCAGTCTGCCGCTGGGGTTCCGTCGGGCGGGCAGAAGGTCCCACCTGGCTGCGAGCAGGTGGGAAGAGTCGGGCCGGTGGTGCCAGAGCGGGGTCTGGGGATCCCGCGGAGCCTCCTCCCCCTTCTCCTGCGGACACAGCTCCTGCTGCTCTACTCACCTCTCCCACTGATAAACCCTCACCTCTCCCGTGAGTCACCTTGGCACCATCCCTGTGTTGCTGGTTCTGCAGGAATCGAGGATGCTGGAGTTGGGAGGTCCTGAAGCCTTCCACGCACATTTCAAAGGAACGCCTGGGAGGCCAGGCACGGTGTACAGGGTTGAAGTCCCTGCGGTGTGCCCCTAAGAGGGTGCTGCGTGAAGCTGTGGAGGGGACACCGAATGAAAACCCCAGAAAATGAGAGACACGAATAATGTGACCTGTCTCCTGAGAAAAGCTTCTGGTTGAGGAGAAATCCAGGCTAAAGCAAATCCATAAGCCTTGACCCTGAAAGGCCAAAGGGCTGGGCTGCCCAAGCCCTTGGGAGCTAACGTCTCAAAACTGTAGAAGGAGTTAGAGGTGAAATTATGAGACCGGGTTTCTCACCTGGGTGTCAGTCTATTTTGGCCCATTCCTTTCTCTTAGGCCTCTATTCATTCCTTTTGGAATGAGAATACTTATTTTAGGTCAGTGTCTATTGCATAGACGTAACTTGCTTTAGAGTTTTATGGGAGCTCACAGGCAAAATTTTGTCTTGAGTCTCAGCTGAAACTGTACTTTGGGCAATGCTGAAACGAAGATCCATGGCGCTCTTCCAGACAGACCAAATGCATTGTGCACTGGGAAATGGACATGATCTTTGGGGAACTGGAATGAAATGTTATGGTTTGGATAGGGTGTGTCCCCCCAAATCTCCTGTTAATGAGAAAATAAATATTCAGAGGTTAAATGAGTAGATTACTAGAACTGTAACCTAATCAGTCCATCTTAGGTTGAATGGACTGACTGGGTGGCAGCTTTAGGAGGTGAGGCATGGCTGGGGGAGGTGGGTTGATGATTGTGTGCCCTGGAAGGGTACATCTGATCTGTGGCCTTTTTCTTCTGCCTGTCCCCTCACCCTGCCCCTCTGCTTCTTGAGCCTTTTCCCTTAACTGGCCCCCACCCCAGGATGTGTTGCATCACCTGGTGCAGAGCAATGCGGTTGGCTGTCTATGGACTGAACCCTTTGAAATTGTGAGCCCCAAATAACACTTCTCTCCTCTACTTTGCTCTTGTTAGGTATTTTGGTCACAGCAATGTAGAATTAACTAAGACATTGTATATGATATTTCTGGCTTGTCCAAAATATTAGTTGTTTGATAAATTATGAAATTCAATAGATTTGGAAAGTGAGCCTATGCACAAAATGTCTAGACTGCATTTTAGCCGAGTGCCTTAGCAAAACCTCTTAAGGTTTATAATAAATTCTATTTTAAATGTATTGCCAGAATTCTTAAACTCAAGAAATTTAATTTTATTTGTTATTTCTTTCCTTTTTGCAGGCCTGAGACCAGCCAAGAGAAATAGAAGATTATATAAAAATGGCTATTAACCTATTTATGGATTCTCTTTTTCGGATTTCTATACTGGCATCGTTTTTAAATGACCTAAACATTGTGAAGATTTTTTTTGTAGTTGCTGCTGTTATTTTAAATTGAGCATAAATCCTGTTAGTACTTTAAATTAGCTATCAGTGTATCTGTAACCTTCATTCAGTAACCTAAATGTTAAATGCATTTCCAGAATATTGATTGTTACATTCTTTATATTTGATATAAGAGAAAATTGACATTTGCTGAGTTTTAGTCTGTAGCTTTTAAAACTAGTTTGCCTCTTTAACTATTTTCACAATCTCCGTATTAGAAAAGATTCATGTTGATATGCAGACTCTAAATTTGTGGTTGTCAAAAATAAAATTGTTGGAGGTGGGGTTGTGGCTCAGTGGTAGAGCACTTGCCAAACTTGAGTAAGATACTGGGTTCGATCCTGGCATCAATAAAAATAAACAAAATACAGGCATTGTGTCCATCTATAGCCAATATATACTTAATTTAATTTAAATATGTATTTAATTTAAATATATATAAATTTAAATATATATAATAAAAAATTGTTGTTCATTAGCCTTTATTAAGCAGATTCAAAGCCTGTTTTAATTCTCTGTAAACTAACATTGGTCCCTTTACTAACTTAGAATTAAAAATTAGTTTATATGATGTTGCTTATAGAGCAACTCAGAAACTGCAACTCAGAAACTTTGCATGTACAGTTTTATATTTTTTGTACATAGTTCCTGAGTTTTATTTTTTCAATCAGATGCTTCACTGCCTTCTGAAAGTGTCCCTTGGTGCTGTTAAATGGAGTTTATGTATGTCTGATGTCAATAGTCTAGCTTTCTTGAGTTAAATGTAGAACAAGAATTATTTCTTCTGACAGAAAATGCAGATCTACTTTTCTAGTATATCAGTATATCTGCTTTTTTCCTCACATTTGTATTACTTTAAATGTCTTTTTGTTTTCTCTTATTTTGTTTACTCAAAGACCTTAGACAATAAAGAGGTTTAGAGTTTTGAGTTAAATTTTTATCTTCAGAGATATTTAAGTTTTGATATATGTCTCTCCTATCAATAATAAGACTTAAAAAATAATGAGAATTGGATTTAAATGACTGCTATTTTTTTTTCAAAACAGAGCTTATTTTATGCCATTTGAAAGCATCTGAGGTCAGAGCACACATATTTGACATTTGCTGAGTTTTTAGTCTGTAGCTTTTAAAACTAGTTTGCCTCTTTAACTATTTTCACAATCTCCATATTAGAAAAGGTTTAGGTTGATATGCAGGCCCCCCCAACAATTTTATTTTTGACAACCACAAATTTAGAGCATATTTGATATAAGAATTTTGCGAGAATATGGAAATAAGGAATAGACATTCATTGAGCTAAAAAGGTAAACAAAAAAATCACCTTTCTGTTTTGCTTCATTAATGCTTAAATTCTAGAGGAACTTAAAATAACTTTTTTTTTTTGGGGGGGGGGGACCAGGGATTGAACTCAGAGTCACTTGACCTCTGAGTCATATCCCCAGCCCTATTTTGAATTTTATTTAGAGACAGAGTCTCACTGAGTTGTTTAGTACCTCACATTTGCTGATGCTGACTCTGAACTCGTAATCTTCCTGCTTCAGTCTTCCAAGCTGCTAGGCTCCTGGCTTAAAATAACTTTTTGTTTTGTAGTTGTAGTTGGACACAATATCTTTATTTTATTTTTATGTGGTGCTGAGGATCAAACCCAGCACCCAACACATGCTAGGCAAGTGCTCTACCTCTGAGCCACAACCTCAGGCCTTTAAAGTAAGTTTTTAAATGCATTTGTAGGTAGGATTTAGAAATTTGCCAATGCCCACAGTTATGATTGATACCAATCATAACTGCTAATAAGGAGAGCTTAAATGGCCGGAACAATGTGACAGTCCCATATTTATCTCTCATAACAAAATTTGAATATGTTCTGGCTAAAGACAGTCTACTTAAGGGAAAATATTTTAGGTAAAAAGGATTCTATATGATATTTATACGTAACTAAGTTGGCTATAAATAAAAAAGTTATTACAGAGCTTTCTAAATCAAGAATAATACACATATGTGAAACCAGAAACTAGTACTTGATATTTAAAAACACAAGGATTTCTTAAAGTATTGCTCTGTTCTTAGCAAAATTTATGAAGAACTAGCATTAAAAAAGATTTTGTTTTATTAATTAATAAATTATAATATATCTATATTGTAATTATTAATTAATTAATTATAATGATAATTGCCTGTGATTTCTGCTAATTTTATTGGGTTTTATTACTTAAAAAATTATGTCCTCCTGGGCACAGTGGTGCACACCTGTAATCCCAGTGGCTCAGAAGGCTGAGACAGGAAGATGCCAGTCTCAGCAAAAGTGAGACACTAAGAAACTCAGTGAGACCCTGTCTCTAAATGAAATACAAAATAGGGCTGGAGATGTGGCTCAGTGGTCGAGTGACCCTGAGTTCAATCTCCAGTATCCCCCCCACAAAAAAAAGTCCTACAAGAGTTAGAGTTAATTCAAACTTTATTTGTTCTACAATAATCATCATAATTTTCACCCTCCATTCTTTATTTGTTCTAAAATCTCCTTCTGTTTTAATGAGTTTCTATTTTTACAATAATGTGATTTTTTTAATACCAATATTCTAAAGATTTAGAAATCTGTTAGTCTTGCGGTAATGCTATAAATCATTATTATCTTAACATATTTTAGCCGTAATTAAATTATTTTGCAAAGCTACTAAGTTCTCTCTGTAATAATGACAGCTCATATATTGTTGGTGGTTATTTTAGATAACATGAGCCATTTCTCTGTAGTTGTGGCAGGTGGCATGTTTGAGACTGGGGAGGGCCGACCACCCTTCCTTACATATAGAATTCTGAGGAGGCTCCTGAGATCCAGGCGCCCAGCAGAAATCAGCATCTGCCTGTCCCTAGGGGTGTATTGGTGTCATCTGTCCAGGTCAGACACCATGCAACGGACTCCTAACGCCAGATTAGAGCTAAACTCTGGGGCAGAACTCCCCATTCAGAAGCAGCAGCCCCACGCTGGGAGTGCATCTAACTAGTCTGTCATCTAACTAGTCTGTCACCTAACTAGTAGTGTAAGTGGACACTCCTTCCCATTCTGTGCTACCTTAACCTGGTGGGGAGGGAAGCCCAGTGCCGTCTCACCCAGCTCAGTTCCAGGCTCTCCAACTGGTGGCTGGAGAGAAAAGCAAAGAGGAAGGTGTGACATCCCCAGCCCTGGCTTCCTCTGAGGGGCCACAGCCCAGGAGGGAGGAGGCAGCCAGACAGCTGGGCCCACACAGACACCATTGCTCCGTGTCCACAGTTTGCACCGCCTCAGTGGAGAAAATCATTATTTTTTAAATTAAAATTGTTTTAATTCTTCTCCTCTCATCCCACTTATTGTGTGTGTGTGTGTGTATGTGTGTGTGTGTGTGCTTATTAGTTCATGGAAACACACACATACACACACACTTCTTTTCTTCATTTTCATTTTTCTTCTCATTTGCTATATCTCTTTGTTTCGTCTTTTGAGGGTCAGGGTTTCTGTGCGTTTTTGTTTTCGTCTTTCTCTGTCTCCTTTCCTATTTTTTTCCCTCTTTTTCTTTCCTTTTAGTTTTTTCTCCTCCTTCCTTATGGCTACAGTTGCTTCCTCTCTTCTACTTTTTCTCTGTTCACATTTAGAATATTCTAAATTTTCTTTTGCCTTCCCACCTCCTATCTTTTAATGAACTATCATTTTGTCATCTGACTATTCAGTTTATGCTATTCTACCCGTTCACCCCCCGCCCCCCCTTCACTTTGCTGTGGCTGAGTGCATGCTTGATTCCTGCATTTAGTGCTGGATCTAGTTCACAGCTGTCCTTGTTGCTATTGTCAGTGGCTGACCCTCCACTCCTGTTGTGTGGTGATGATCATTATGGATGTCTTATTTAAATGCTGTGTGTTGTTTCCTGCTGTGATTTTTTTGGTTTTGTTTTTTCCTCCTTTTCTGTGAGGTGCTTGGAGTGTAAAAAATGGAACCACCACATAACCCAGGTGTACCACTGCTCGGTAATTCCTGAAGAATTAGTTATCTTACTGCAGTGATACCTACACACCATGTTTATAGCAGCACAATTCACAATAGCCATGTTATGGAACCAGCCCAGTGGATGAATGGGTAAAGAAATGTGGTATATGTTTAAGTCAGCTTTTTTTTGTTGCTGTGACTAAAGGACTCAACCAACACAATTGTAGAGGATAAAAGTTTATTTGAGGACTCCCAGTTTCAGAGGTCTTAGTCCATAGAATGCCGGCTCCATTTCTCAGAGCTGCAGGTGAGGCTGAACACCATGGCATTGTGTGTGGCGGAGGGAAGCAGCTCACATGGTGGTGATGAGGAAGCAGAGAGACTCCACTCCCAGATACAAATATACACCCAAAGCCACGACCCATCCCCACTTCCTCCAGCCACACCCACCACTTCAGTCACCTCTCAGTTAATCCCTATCAGGAGATTAAATCTCTGTTTAAGACTCTCACAACCCCTCAATTCTCCTCACAAACTTCCTGTGTTGTCTCACATGTGAGCTTTTGGGGGACACCTCACATCCAAACCATCACAGTGTATATACACAATGGCGTTCTATTCAGCCAATAAGAAAAATGAAGTTATGTCGTTTTCAGGAAAATGGATGGAACCAGAGGCTATTATGTTCAGCGAAAAAAGTCAAACTCAGAAAGTCCAGGTTCAAATGTTTTCTCTACTGTGTACAAGCCAGAAAGGAAAAAGGAAAAAAGAAGAAAAAAAAGGCAGTGGTGGATCTCATGAAAACAGAAAGAAGACCAGCAGAAAACAGGAGGGAGAACCAGGGGAGGAAGGAGGAGGGGGGAGAGGGGAGGGAGAGGGGAAGTGCTCTGGAATAAAATTGACCAAAGTGTGTTGTTACGCTGTGTGCATGTGCAAATATGTGACTATGAATTGCACTACTATATATAATTAATTATAATGCACTAAAAAAGAAGAAAAAGGAGGAGGAGGAGGAAAGGAAAAAGCACCTGACATAGTCTTAAAAAAAAAAAAAAAAGAATCTTGACAGTGAACTTATAGGTAAGCTTG